TTACTAGTGTTACTAGTGTACCATCATAATCATCGTACCACACACATTTAACATTTTGCCGCCTCATCTCATCGATTGCCGATGTTTACCACCCAGTTTTTTTGGACTTTCCCCAAAACATGACGGCAAAGCGTTCAAAGCATCCGGAAAAATTACTCCGTTCGGAAAAATCTCTATAAAAAAAACAAGAGAAAAGCTCCGGTGTTAAAAAATCTGCAACTCACCTTCTCAGGCACCACAGTCCAGTCTTCCAAATTGAGGGACTTGAGGGTCGGCTCCGAGTGCTTGGAGTGCCGATAAATCCTAATGTCCTTGCCCGTGAACATCGGGAAGTTGATGTAGCGATACCCGCGGACGTCCGACCCCAGGAGGACCTCTCTCACGTCGTTGGGCCGCACCGCCTCCACCTCTTCGATGGCCTTCTGAAGGTAAGGCTGAGTTTCCTGGGAGATCAATTCCAGAACACATTAGGGTGAATTCAGTTCATTCTTACTTATTTTTTTAGTTTTAGTAGAGGTTTTACGGCGCTCACAACTGCATAAGGTCATATGAGCGCCAGAAGAATAGAGGTGTTACAAGAGAGTAACAAACAAAAAAGAAGGGGAGATAAGGACGATAGATGTTTGATAGAAAAGAAGAAGCAAACCACACCAAAGCACCCGCCAACCACCCACAGTTCATTCTTAACACCAAAAGCTAAACTGCATAAAATTGATGAACTGTTCTTTCCTAGGACTCCCACATCTTGTATTATGGGGAGAATTTTCCATAAGTATTTCGCTGGGTTTTTTTTGGGAATGTTGTATCTCTTTTTGGGAATGTTGTATCTCTCTCAGCACAGGTTGACCCTGACAGGTAGTGTCAAAGCCCATCTCCTATTATGACCCAAATTGTGTTGATGCGGGCATATAAAAAACATACACTAAAAATTAATGATTGTGCGTGTGCATGGGGGAGTTGTGCGCAAGCAAATCAGCAAACTTGATCACAAACTAAACTGTGCTGAGCAATAATGTACATCTTTTGAGTTTACACTTTAACTTCTTTGTAAAACAAATCTTCCTCCTTCATAATTTTCAGCTGTGAAAAATAGAAACAGAACGCCTATTATAACATTGTTTTTACAAAGGCAATCACATTTCAAAAATCCAATAACGTACCAGGCAAAAATCACAGTAGCTTTTCAGGATCCAAACTCTCCGCACAAACGAGAGCTGATGGAAATGCTTCTTTACCAAGGGATTGGTTTTTCCTGAAATTCAAAAAAAAATCCTCTGGTTAACAATGAATGAAAGGCTAAACAAAGAAAAAAAACTAAATTTTAAATTTTAAAAAGAAGAAAATCAATTAAAATTGAGAGACAAATAACAACACGACAACATTCACTTGGATTACCACAAGTGACACAAATAAACAAAACAAGTTACTATAGTCTAATAACATAGCAAGATGACTTTTACTCTCCTTGAAACATCCATAAAAGATTATTTCAGATGGACCTCAGATTTAAAGCCCTATTCCGTTTGATTCAACCTGAGAAAACTCAGAAATCCCAAAGTCAAAATGTCCTTCTAGAGATTTAACTCTTTAAACACTGAGTACTTTCCATTGTTTCCCGGAGTTTTTTCTACAATCAACTGAACCTGGTGCACTATGTCTCATTATAACCCCAAAATCTTGCCTCCAGCTTCTAAATGGCGGAAACAAAGGCTTAGTCACTACAACAAAAAAAAACTTGGATCGGGAACAGTTCCGAAAAACAAGCAAAAACTAGCACTAAATAAAAATGAAACAGTTGCCACAAGTATGACGGGGAACAGGGTTATTACCGCCGGACACTCCCAGCATCTGACAGGGTTTAAAGAGTTAAATGACAGTCCCACCTCAAAATATTCTTACCTGCTACCCATCTCAACAAATGGTAGACCTTGCTATTCTGAGACTAAAAAAAACTAAAAAAACAAATGTAGGAGCTATAAACTTACCCAGTATCATAAAGGCTCTTGTATCAAGGCCTAACTTGTAGCAGGCCTGAAAGAAAGCAAAAGAAATCACTCAAGTCAATTCCAAGTTCCATTCAAATGAGTTCAGTCTTCAAAAACGAATACATTTGTGAAATACTTATACAACACAATTAAGCTGCTTGTGCAACATCTTTCGGGGGGGGGGGGGGGGGGGGGGGCATTTTACAAAATCACAAGTGACCCTCATGTTCATCGAGCTAAAAACTCAAGGGGTGCACTGACCAAAAACACTTTCATTGAAACTTTACAGGATGAACAGAATAAATTTTAAAAATTTAACAAGCAAAAACACACACACAATAAAAAAAAGACAGCACTGAAGATGTATTTTAGAACACAATAAGGTCATATAAGTGCCAAGGATTAGAGGTGTTAGAAGAGAGTAACAAACATGAAAAAGAAGGACGGGAGATAAAGACGATAGACGTTCGATAGGAAAGAAGAAGCAAACCACACCAGAGCACCCGCCACCCACCCACTAAAAACTCAAGGGGTGCGCTGGCTGACCAAAAACACTTACACTGAAACTTTACAGGCTGAACAAAATAAATACAAAATTTTAACAAGCAAAAACAAACACACACACACACACACACACAAACAAAAAACAAAACAAAAAAAAGAGCGCTGAAGATGAGAACATCAGGAACAAAACAACAAAACAAAAGTCATAAACGTAAGAAACAAGTAAAATAAATAATCCAATCCCACTGAGATTTGGTCGCTTTTTTTAAGGACAAGCGGGCTAACCCAGATTTTGGAGGGTTTCCAGAAATCTTAAACCTACACCAAAAGTGGGCATTGCCCTACCTAAAGGAGAAGATTGGTTTCATTGGTGGTGTGTATATTTGTTTGGCTATAGATAAAACTTTCCTTGTCTTTCAAAGGAACTGAACAAGGGGCAAAAACTTTACCTTCGATTTTCTCAAAACAGCATTTTTCGGGAGAGCCCCTACTTTGTACTTAAAAGCAACCATTTAACAACAAATGTGAGGCAGCGTGGTGGAATCAGGCTCTCGTCAAAATAATCAAAGTGAAGAAACTTGCATTTTTCCGCAGGTTTGTGAATTTTTTTCAAATTTTTGTTTTTTGGCTCAACACCTTTCATGTCCATTAAATAACTAATTTTTGTGTGGATTTTTCTGAAAAAAAGTTGATTAAAGGCACAAAAAATGTAAATTTTCAGTTACCACGGACTTTTACGATAACGAAATAACTAATCTTTGGCGGCCATTTTCTCACTAATTTTACCTCTGAAAACAGGTGACCCCCACCTCCTTCATTTGCAAATATCTCGATATATATATTCAAGATAAATGGATACTTTTTTCATTTAAATAAAGACCAGTAAACAAGCTATAAGATGGTACTAATAACTCTACATGCCCAAAAATTGACGAGAGCCTGATTCCTCCACGCTGCCTCACATATATACAATCCAATCCCACTGAGATTTAAGAACAACAAATATGAGAGAGAAGAAAGAAACGAACCTGTTGCTGATTGCCTCCCTTGTCGGCAAGAATCTTGTAAAAGTAGTCCAGCTTGACGGAGAGCTTCTTGTTCCACACCTGGTACGGCATGAAGCTCTTCAAGCTGAGGGAGCAGAAAAAAAAATATTGGAAAATCTCAGGCAATTTCAGTAAACACGTCTTCATCGTTTTTTAGTAAGTGTTATACGGCACTTGCAACACAATAAGTTTCTTGAACAGGTGTCTAAGAAAGTTACTGAGGATCAGATGGCCAGACAGGGTCACCAATGTGGAAGTGTTAATGAAAACAAGACAGATCCCAGTCAGAGATGAGGTCGGAAGAAGGCGGTGGCGATGGATTGGACATACTCTCAGGAAGTCAGGCAGCTGCATAACAAAGAAAGTTTTGGATTGGAACCCACAGGGCAAGAGATCAAGGGGAAGACCTCGTGGAACTTGGAGAAGAATCACAGAAATCGATGTACAGAAAAGTGGGAAGACATGGAATAACATCAAGAGGCTAGCCCAGGATAGAGAAAAGTGGAGGGTGTTTGTCCGTGGCCTATACCCTGATGCAGGGTGAGAAAGGCAATGATGATGAACACAGTAAGGTCATATAACGATTAGAGGCGAGATGTTACAAGAGAACAGAGTGCAACAAACATAAAAAAGGAGGGGAGATAAATACGATAGATGTTTGATAGGAAATAAGAAGCAAACCACACCAGAGCACCCGCCAACCAACCACCCACCGATAGATGTTTGATAGGAAAGAAGGAGCAAACAACACCAGAGCACCCGCCAACCACCCACAATCTGTCCTCCTCCTTTTTTGTGTTTGTCCCTCTCTCGTAACACCTCTAATCTTCAGCACTTGCATGCCGGTTATTTCTCTCCCCCGTCCCCTCCCATCATCGATCGACCACTCACCTCTTCCTCTGGTGCGGCGTGGACAGGAGACAGGTCATGAGGCGACGGAAGTCGGAGCACTCCCTGGGCGCGGCCAGCCCCCGCTCCAGCTGGTATTGGGTCACCTCCTCCTCCAGCCCCAGGCTCTCCATGCACATGTACACAAACATGCCCAGCTGCGGCAGCTGTGGAAACAACAAAAACATAACACGTTTGGGAGGTGATGGGTGCAATGCAGTAGTGTATTCATATCACCCATTTACATTTGAGCTTGAGTAAAGAGAAGCAAATCGACACAATAATGGTCATACAGTACAGTGCAGGGAAAGAAACAAGACAGATAGACAGAAGCAGCAGAGGGAAAGTTTTAATTTTAGTAAACGTTTTACGGCGCTCGCTACAGCATAAGGTCATATGAGTGCTAGAAGTTCAGAAGTGTTACAAGAGAGTAACAAACATAAAAAAGAAGGAGGGGAGATAAGGACCTATAACTCCAGACCCAGGCTCTCTATGCACATGTACACATACATGCCTAGCTGGGGCAGCTGTGGAAACAACACACACATATAATTATCATCATAAATTGTATTCTGTCTTTATTTAGAAAGACACACACACGTCATCATAAATTGTATTCTTTTTTTTCTTTAGTAAGACAAACACACATATCATAAATTGTATTCTTTTTTGACCGATCGATTGATTTTTTTTTTTTTAGTAAGAGTTTTACTGCACTTGCAACACAATAAAGTCATATAAGTGCCGAAGAATAGAGGTGTTACAAGACAGTAACAAACACAAAAAAGAAGGAGAAGAGATAAGGACGATAGATGATAGGAAAGAAGGAGCAAACCACACTAGAGCACCCGCCAACCACCCACTTTTTCTATTTAGTAAGTGTTTTACGGAACTTGCAACACACAATAATATAAGGTCATATATAAGTATACCGAAGATTAGAGGAGTTTCCAGAGAGAAACAAACACAAAAAAGGAGGAGGGATAAGGACGATAGATGGGGTTGGGGGTTTTTTGGGGGGGGGGAGGGGGGTTGTAAGTGTTTTACGGCGCTCGCAACTGCATACGGTCATATGAGCGCGCGGGACACATTAAACTTTTTCAGTTGGTAGGAAATTTTGAATTTTGCCTGGGTGGCGGCCGAAGCCTACTCTTATCAATTTTAGACCACCAAGGGATCTTTAACGTGCGCAACTTGCACACCGGCCCTCCAAGATTTTTCGCCCTTGTCCGAGAAGGCTAGGTGTAGACCTTTCCTACCAGAAGACCAGGGGTGTGGCTGAAAGACAGCAGTAAAAATGAGCCAAGGAGTAGCAGAAAGAGTCAAGAGCCCTGAGGCGGGGGCAAAGGAGGTGAGGGGGTGAGGGCAGAAAGAGGAGATGAAAGCAGACGACAGAACGCTGCTAGAGAGCAGGAAAGGAGGAGAAAGGAGACAATTTTAGAGAAGAAAATTTTTACGGTCACTACCCCGATTCGAACCCGCGACCTTTGAGTGAGAGGTAAACACTTTAACCTCTAGACCACGAGAGCCCCCGAGAAAACAATAAGCCTTCTTCAAGCACAAGAATCTCACCTCCCACATGGTCCGTATTTGCTTCTTCACCTCCGGTCCAAGGAGCCCATCCTCCCAGTCTTGAAGTTCCTGAAGACGTGCCTACACACACAAAAAAACAAAACAAATCACAATCAAATAAAAGGCAAAACCACTTACAACAGCCTTTTTCTTTTTATTGGTAAGTGTTTTACGGCGCTCACAACAGCATAAGGTTATATATGAGAGCGCCTTACAACAGCCTGCTATCTCACCTCAACATTACTGCCCTTGTTGAAAGGCTCAACACAACTGAACAAGAAATTTATAAGAACCTCGATCTCTCAAATATTTTTCTTTGACATAACACTCATTCTAAGGAACTATTTGTACCGATATCCAAAATCTTCCATTCTACGAGAAAAAAAAACCCCTGTATTTTTTTACCTGCTTCACATACTGATTTTCTTCACAACTAAACAGTCTCATATATCCCTGCCACTAAAGACTGATATATATATTCATTGTTTTGGGCCTGACGTTGTGTCCTTGGGAAAGGCACTTTACATGAATTTTCCTCACTTCACCCAGGTGGGAATGGGTACCCGGCTATAGACAGCGAAAGATCTTGTCAGTTTGTTAGTGTTTGAGCGCTTAATCGGCTGCTTGCACTGTATGCTTCCCGGGAAGCTGAGAATGTTTCCGAGTGTTCTGTGGTCTGCTGGGGTAATAATATAGTGTAAAACGCATAGAGCCTGCAGTTGAGCAGGGATATGCGCTATGCAAATGTTATTTATTAATTAATTATTATTTGCTCAAAATTTGATGTATGTGCTCTTAAAAACTTTTTAAATCCTGAAATTACACACAAATGACTCGTAGATTATAAGACAACATTGATTCTCACTCACTCACACACAACACACACAGAGATTGTGAAAGATTCAACTGACCTGCTCCATAGCTTTCCTGTCTTCCACTTTCTGGCGGCGATCCTCTCGTTCCTGCAAGACCTTATCCCGCCTCAGCTGTGACAGAAGCTGCTGAGAAGGATCCTCTTGACTGGCATTCGGATTTTTCACTCTCCGACGTACACCGGCTGAAAAGAAAGAAAAAAAATCATTTTGTGAATCTTAGTTTAGTTATTGTAGAGGTTTTACGGCCCTCGCAACTGCATAAGGTCATATGAGCACCAGAAAATTAGAGGCGTTACAAGAGAGTAGCAAACATAAAAAGAAGAAGGGGAGATAAGGACGATAGATGTCTGATAGGAAAGAAGAAGCAAACCACACCAGAGCACCCACCAACCACCCACCTTTTTTAAGGGAATCTAAAGTTTTGGGTAGGTGGGGGGGGGGGAGGTTTCAAGGCAACTTTTTCAAAACCAAAAGAAAACCCAATCCACACAGGTAATGCTCATGAGAAAAATTACACTATCCGTACGTCGTGTCTTACTATCATATCCATACAACGTGGGGAACTCTGTGCCAAAACTTTCCAAACAGGAAATTTACTCGATAATCCGATCCATACGCTTTGCATATCAGTCTGTCAAAATGAATTTTTTGAGAAATACTGAAAGTTTTAAAGAGATCTTCGTACTAGAAGTATTCTAAAATGTGAAGAATACAACCCCGGGGGTACAAAATGACCCCAGGGGGTACGGATAGGGTTAAAACCGTTAAACAAATCAATCATTTTCAACACAAAACAAACCCCCCCCAAAAAAAACCCACGAAAAAAGAAAATTAAATGAAAATAATATGTCGGCTTCAATTTTAAAGACTGTTAGCGAGGCCATACTGCCCTGAACATTGAACAAGAACAATTTTCATCAAGCTGATATATCAAAGAAGAAAAAACTATCTTCCAACACATTACACATATTCAGACAGAAGATTACCCCACAACTCAATTTTTTTTTTGCTGAGAAAGTGGCAAACTAAAAATTTAATCCAACCTTCTTTTTAAAACGGAACAGAGATTCAACCATATCTTATCATCCCTGAATATTATTCAGGGATGATAAGATATGGCTGAATCATATGTATAGATCACCGAGCACATTACAAAGAAAAAGATTCGCAGGGGATACAAATTGATTTCTTTTCTTTTTTTTGCACTAAAGCAACAAAAAACACCCTACCAATTCCTGCCTTACAGGTATACAAAAAGGTCTATAAAAATAAAAAAGCACCTGAAACTCCTCCTAGCTTACTTGTTTTGCCATTTTCATTGCCAATAGCTATCAAACATACATGGCCACTAGCAATGGTCTGTTGACTGTCCGTACTGGCAAATTATTGTGTACATTGTGCATTGTTAATAAAGTAACTGTACGTAATGTATTTGGGAATGCCACTGTAAACCAAATCTCTCCCCCCCCCCTCCTCCACAGGGATCAATAAAAACAATTTATTTTATTACGATAGTGATAAGTTATGATCTAAAACATCCAGGTTTGATATACTATAACTGAACATGCCTGCCTATAATATGAGACATTGCTTTATTCGGTAAATTGCATGCAGCCTTCAAAATACCAATAAATGAATACAAAATTAAGAGAGAAGTACGCAATACAAACTACAGTTACATTAACTACACATACTGCAACATATCGCTGCTACCTCCAAAGAACAAAGTTTTATCTGACATTTTCGGCCGTTTTGTCCACACACGAGGCCAGAAACCAGATTATTATGCTCAAAGATTTCATTTGAAAAAGCTTGACATGTTCTGAAACTCAAGTATATTTTGATATCCAATTTCTCAAAACTGGGTACGGAGCTGATAAAACTTTGTAATTCTTGGGTTGCGACATAATAGGTCAACTCACAAGCTCAATAACATCTAATCTATCCTCTACATACAAGGTTTAGAGGAGGGGATGATTTTACAAAAAGCATACCGACCACTCAGTGCTAGACTCCATGAGACATTACTTTATAATTCGGTAAATTGCAGCATTTACTCCATCATTCGTCACTTTTGAAAATGGTGTATGGCGGAGTTTTACACTCAGCAGTCGATATGCCAAGTGAAGTAGATAACAATGACGAGGAAAATGCTTCTATATATATAATATATATATATATACCTGTAGCAAGCATGTCTTCTTCAGGATTTGGCTTGGCAGCTCCCAAGATCTTGTCTCTAAGACCTCTGCAAAAATAGATATATTATAAAAATCATTTTAGTAAGAGTTTTACAGTACTTGCAACACAATAAGGTCATACAAGAGTCGAAGATTTGAGGTGTTACAAGAGCATAACAAACACAAAAAAGGAGGGGAGAAAAAGACGATCGATGTTTGATAGGAAAGTAGACGCAAACCACACCAGAGCACCCGCCAACAACCAACATTATAAAAATCAGTGTGAAATATAAAAAGAATATGAGTCGCGACACTGTGGAATCATGCGCTTGTCAATTTTTGGGCGTGTGGAGTTAGTAGTATCATCTGAAAGCGTGTTCATTTGCCTTGCTTTCGATTAAAAAAAACCCAACCATTTACCTTGAATAGAAGTTGAGATATTTGCAATTAAAGGAGGTGGGGTCACTTGGTTTCAGAGGTAAAATAAGCGAGAAAATGGCCGCCAAAGTTTGGTAATTTCAATAGCTTGAGAGTCCTTGAAAACTGGAAATTTACAGTTTGCCCCTTTAATTTATAAATGTTTTCCCATTAAATTCACATGGAAATGTGTTTTTACATGGACATATGTATAAAAGGTGTTTTGAGCCAAAAAACAAGAATTTTGTAAAAATTGACAAACTGGCCAAAAAATTCCTGTTCCTTCGATTTCACTCTTTTGACGAGCGCCTGATTTTACTAAGATGCCTCATATATATATATATAAATAATAATATGCATCCCTTTACTTTCTGCTCAGATTTATATTACACCAATTGAAAAAAAAAGACATACGAAAGACGACTTCATAATTTACCATTGCAGGGAGATCAGTTTTAAAAATGGTGACTTAGCACAGAATCTATTATGTATTTCATAATAACTCCTTTATATAACAGAAAAAACAAATAAACATCAAGTGGTTACAATCCATTTATAAAAATCTAAGAAAGAGCCCTAACCTAACCTGCGCAAATTAGGACACCATCAAAGTCATAAATCACAGGTTCAGCTATATACATCTTAAAAAAACTGCTCTGTTCAGAAAAATCACAAAACAAGGAAAAAGCACGCACTAGCTAAGTAACTAAATAAAGGGAACTTTCCAACTGAAACCCCAATTTATCTAAATCAAACAATTTCCCATCCCGTTCGTGTTAAACATTCCTGAAAAAGATACACTAATAACATATATATATATGAAGGCCGATCCTTACTTGGACAAGAGAGCCACCTTCTGCTTCATCATCGTCTCTAGCTTCTGTGCCTTTTTGGACACAAAGTTATCCGGGCCGTTGAAACGATAGCAGTTTTCAATCATGAGACGAAAATCACTCATGAACTCTGTCACGTCCCCATACTGATGCGTCTCGAATTTCTCTTTCACTGAGGAGAAAAGGAGAGGAAAAGGTTAATAATTAGACTGAATGCTACCAAAGTCATTTACCTAAAACTGTTTTGTTTTTGTAAAGTGTTTTACGGCGCTCGCAACTGCATAGGTCATATGAGCGCGCGGGACACCACTAATATTTTCGATTGGTAGGAAATTTTTTAATTTTGCCCGGGTGGCGGCTGATGCCTACTCTTATCGATTTTAGACCACCAAAGGATCTTTAACGTGCGCAGCTTGCACACGGGCCCTCCGAGATTTTTCGCCCTTGTCCGAGAAGGCTAGGTGTAGATCTTTCCTACCAGAAGATCAGGGGTGTGGCAGAAAGACAGCAGTAAGGAGGAGCCAAGGAGTAGCAGTAGAAAGGTGAGGGGGTGGGGGCAGAAAGTGGAAATGAAAGCAGACAACAGAACATTGCTAGAGAGCAGGAAAGGAGGTGAAAGGAGACAATTTTAGAGAAAAAAATTTTCGGTCGCTACCCGGATTCGAACCCGGGACCTTTGAATGAGAGGCCAACACCTTAACCTCTAGGCCACAAGAGCCTCCCTGTTTTGTTTATCAAGGGGATCACAACAAAGAGAACAAAAATGTTGGAGCAAAATCTATTCTCAGTAAAAATGTAAAGTAATTTTGGAATGAACAAGTTGCTGAGACATCAAGATCTTTACTTGTCACAGACCAATCCAACGGGGTATATAAATATGTGAGGCAGCGTGGTGGAATCAGGCTCTCGTCAAAATAATCAAAGAGAAGAAACATGCATTTTTTCCCATGTTTGTGAATTTTACCCAAAAAATTTTTTTTTTTTGGCTCAACACCTTTCATGCGCATTAAAGAACTCATTTCTGTGTGTATTTTTCTGAAAAACGTTAATTAAAGGTACAACAAATATAAATTGTCAGTTACCACGGACTCTTAAGCTGGAAATAACTAATCTTTGGTGGATATTTTCTTACTAATTTTACCTCTGAAAACAGGTGACCTCCACTTCCTTCTTTCGCAAATATCTCGACTTGTATTCAAGATAAATGGATATTTTTTTCATCCAAATAAAGACAAGTGAACAAGCCTTAAGACGATACCAATAACTCTACATGCCTAAAAATTGATGAGAGCCTGATTCTACCACGCTGCCTCACATATATACAATAATACATAGAAGAAGATGTCAGGGGGCTCTAATGGCAATGTTAATAAGGTGTTCACCTTTCAATCAACAGGTCCCGGGTTCGAATCCAAATAACAACAGAAAATTTTCTTCTCTAAAAATGTTCTCCTTTCATATCCTTTCCTGTTCTCTAGCACAATGTTCTGTCGTCTGCTTTTGTATCATCTCCACTTTCAGCCCCCACCCCTTCACATCCTTTGTCCCTTCCTCTGGGCTCCTGACTCTTTCTGCAGTCTTTCTACTGCTACTCCTTGGCTCCTTCTTACTGCTGTCTTTCAGCCACACCCCTGATCTTTATGGTAGGAAAGATCTACACCTAGCCTTTTCCAATAAGGGCGAAAAATCTTGGAAGTCTTGCATGTAAGTTGCACACGTTACAAATCCCTCGACAGTCCAAAATAGACAAAAGTAAGCTTCGATTGCAAGCCCTCACTCCCTCCACCTCGCGTCGCCAGGAACTAGTTCGCGTAGCGGTCGATTAGGACCCATGACTGTACAGTCCGTTGTTTGCCTAGTGCGTATTAATAATATAAACACGGTGGGTCCACCAAAGTTCAATCCAGCCAAAATTTCTTACTAACTGAAAATGTTTAATGTGCCCCATGCACTCATTTGACCTTATAATGCAGTTGCAAGCGCCATAAAATTAAAAAATACTAACCCCCCCCCCAATCAGCACAATTTAGATCACTAAGAAGGCAGGCTTCTGACCCTGACTGCCAACCAGAGCTGAGTGAAAGGGATACAACATCCCATGAGAAAGACCAAGATACTCTTTAAAAATGTGTGGTGGCGGTTTAGTTATTGGAAGGTCTGACGACTATTTTTTTATTTAATCGTAAGTCTAATGCAGTGTTTCTTCTTTACACAGGCTTGGGACTTTCATCGGATATATATTTATATAAACATTTTTGGTAGTTGCAGTTTGTCGGTGGGGGAGGAGGCTGGCCCCTCCCCCAATCAAGGCTGGTTGGCAGGTGCTCTGGGGTGGTTTGTTCCTTCTTTCCTGTCAAACATCTATTCATCCTCAGTCCTTATCCCTCCCCATTCTTTTTTGTTTGTAACTCTCTCTTGTAACACACCTAATCTTTGGCACTTTATGTAAAAAAAAGCCAAGCCGAGTCACTTGATGTGACTTGCTGTCGTGACTTACTAGTCACAGTCATAATCTTTACCACAGCAAAATTCTTTAATCTTAACGACATCCCAAAATGAAAACTTAATCCATTCACCCCACACAAACATAATTGTAAACGGCTCAGTTTTTTTATCTAAAAGCCCTGAGCACTGTTTTACCGAGGCCAATATGGCAGGACTAATAACTATTGATTTGCGGCAAAAATGAAGGCCATATTCGTGTTCAGCACGCAAAATACTACTAATCTAGAAAAAAAGTATACCAAACGTTTACATGAGACGGGTGTATTAGTAAAAAAAATACCAAAGAAAATTACTTACTTTTGCCCATCCACATTGGATTCTTGATCTTTTTATAATAATCAGCAGTCTCTGGGAAGTTGGCATCCACACGGGTCAAAAACAATTTGTTGACAAACCTACAGCCAGTGGACATCAGATTGCATAGGATGCGATATCCTACTTGAAGTTCATAGACGAGAGACTCAATATTGAAGGGAATACTGACAATCTCTTTCTTATCCTCCTCTTGCGAAGACTTTGGTGACTCTGGCGTTTCATCTCCAGGGTCAGTTGCCATGGTTTCTGAATGCTCATTTGGACGATCATCTGCATCGGTAGCAGTGCCATTTTCACTGACCTCAGACCACAGCTGAGCCATGTGCGTTGGCCCTGCCCCCTCCGCCTCATTGTTTACAATTGCGACACAGACGTTCTCGTTGGACTCGGTTCGGGCACCTTCTTCACCCTCGCCAGCCGGGTGACTAGATCCGTCCATGGCATCAGGAAATGTATCCGTAGACTCATCTGTGTCCATTCTACTGGACAAGAAATCTAACTGAACCACACAAAAAAGTCATTGTATCCACTTAATTAAAGTTAAAAGGACTTCGGAACTCAATTTTAAAAACACATCAATGAGTGAGTGATCAACATGCCCGATATCATCCTATACAAAACAATATTATTTTTGCACTCCTAACTTGAAACTGTGTTCCAGTCACCTGAAACTCTACTGAATACAATAATAAATACACAAAAGTATATTTCTGACACATAAAGACGACAGGATTTTATGTTCGTCTCATAGTCGTGTAACACAGCTTGCAACACAACAAAAACACACTCGATTCTAAAAACATCTTTCCACCTGTAAAGATTCAGTCCAGCCTCCCGATGCATTGTGGGCTCGCTATTCTGGCGCAGTAATATAAACTGCTGCAGTAACATATTAACTAAAAAGCTCTTGTTTTAAGTTCGGAAGACCTAAATCACATCCATATAATATATTTAACAATTACAGCTGAACGTTTAGAATAAAAGAAAAATATAATATTATAATTAGTTCACTATAGTGGTGACCAATTTCTGGTGCACCTGAATATGCAAATTAGGTGTTATTCGTCGGCCTCGCTTTGGTTTTCTTTTGGCCTATTTTACTCGCCATGCCCCCATAGTCCTATCTTTGCGTAATCTGCTGAATAAAGAATTTAGGTCATAGATTCGTCTTGAGATTTCTATCTAGGGTTTTTGTAGTCAAATGCATTATTTTCTGATTTACGGGAAATACTGGTAAACTTTTATAAAAGACTATTGCCGGATACATTTTGATTGAAAACACGACTTTCAGAAATTACCGAAAAACAAACGTACTACGTTAACGTAAAAGTCCGTAAGACACGTGCTTTGTTAGGGAAATGGAGTAGTAACTCTCGTGGATATTGGGAGGTGGGGGGGGGAGGCAGTATTACGAATTTCGAAATCATATTTTTTACCTCACATATTGTCTAAACTCCCTCGTTCTTCTACCTGAGGGATTTGCACTGTTTTTGGGGTACATTTCTCTTTTTTTAGATTGACAGTAATGATTAGATTAGTAGGCCTATTGAACTCACGACGAGAAAAAAAAAATACATATAGGGCCTACAGACTGTACGCGACAGGGAGGGAGGGGGGAGGAGGCAAAATCAGTCGTTTGGGAGATATTAAAAGCATGCAATCTTCGTTTGTTTGTTTGTTCGTTTGTTTTTTAGTTCTAGATCTTAGTTCCAGCCTTATTTTTATTTTTATTTTATTTATTTATTTTAAATTTATTTATTTATTTTATTTTATTTTTTTTTATTTTTTTTTTGGTGGGG